GTCTCAGTTCGCGATTCTAAAAAATGTCTTGGCAGTCAATCAGGTCAGTTCACTACCTCCAGACTGACAGTTTGAACCGCAAAGATGAACTGACAACTGACTGATTGACTGATAGCAACTCTGATTAGACGGAAGTCGGCCAGCAGAATTCCTCTACGACAAACCACGGCCGACGACTCTGTCTGGTAAAGCGGGAACGCACAGACTGAACATCAGCCACCAGCTCTATCACAGGCTGCAAAACTTCGCTAGGGAACGTGGAGTGACTCCATTTGTCGTCCTCCTCGCTGTATTCAGAGCCACACACTATCGTTTGACCAAACAAGATGATGCAACTATCGCAGTCCCTAATGCGAACAGAAGTCGCCCAGAGATTGGAGACCTGATTGGGTTTTTCGTCAATATCCAGTGCATCCGAATGAAGATTCAGGATGACACCTTCGAAGAGCTATTGCAACATACCTACAAGACAGTAATAGATTCCCTTGCCAACCAGGATGTACCTTTTGAAAGTATCGTTTCGGCATTGCAAGGGGACAGAGACTCTTCCCGCAACCCTCTCGCGCAGGTCGCCTTCGCCGTCCACTCACAGCAAGACATAGGGAAGCTTACGTTTGAGGGCGTCGAGACAGAAGCCATAGAAGGCCCAGCTACTTCACGTTTCGATCTTGAAGTCCATTTCTTCCAGGAACAACATGGTCTGCAAGGCTATGTATATTTCGCTGAGGAGCTGTTTGTCCCCGAGACTATACACTCCCTAGCATCTGCCTTCACCAGCATCCTCGACAACTGTCTCGACAAGCCAGAGACACAGATCGCCGTAGTGCCGCTCATGACCATTGAGGCCCACAGTCAACTCGACCAAATGGGGCTCCTCCGCATGAACCAGACAGCCTATTCTCGAGATTCCAGCATCGTCGACGTCTTCCGCCAGCAAGCCGCTATGCACCCTTCAAGGGTGGCTGTCAAGGATACATCAACAGACCTGACCTACGCACAGCTAGATTCACAATCAGAAAAGCTAGCAAAGTTCCTAGCGACGAAGTCATTTGCCCCTGAAACAGCAGTCGGTGTTCTGGCACATCGTTGTTGTCAAGCAATCGTTGCTTTCATTGGCATCCTCAAAGCTGGCTTGGCCTATCTACCATTCGACCCCAAGGCGCCCGAAAAACGGATGGAGTCCATCTTCTCGACCATTGAAGGCAACAAATTGGTCTTGGTCGGCCCGAACATCCCACTGCCAGATACTGGACCCAAAAATGTTGAATTCGCCCACATCGTCGATATCTTAGACGCAGATGGAGATGTTAAGTTTACAAGGAGGGAACTGGATCCTACTCTCAGACCTACTGCCTCTAGTCTGGCTTACATTCTCTTTACGTCTGGCTCTACTGGTCAACCTAAAGGAGTCATGGTCGAACATCGCGGCATAGTACGTTTGGCACACCACGATCAGATGGAGCACTTCAAGTCTTCCGGAGCGATGGCTCATATGGCAAATCTTGCTTTCGATGGGTCTTCCTGGGAGATCTACACATGTCTTCTCAATGGAGGTACCCTCGTTTGTATCGATGCGACAACTGTGCTAGACCAGGATGCTTTATTACGCGCGTTCACAGAATCCCAGATTCGTATCGCTTTCATCACACCTGCTCTGCTGAATTACATCCTGGCCGAATCCCCAGATACAATAGGCAACTTGGATACCCTGCTTGTAGCAGGAGACAGAGCTGATATAGACGACGTCTTCAGGGCACGAGATCTTGTGAGAAACAAAGTCGTTGCCAATGCATATGGTCCAACTGAGAACTCGGTCATGAGCACACTGTATATTCTGTCTGAGGATGAGAATTGTGTCAATGGTGTGCCTATCGGACGATCTATCAGTAACTCAGCGGCATACGTGATGGATCCGGAACAAAACCTTGTGCCACTTGGAGTTGTCGGAGAGCTTGTTGTTACTGGAGATGGTGTTGCCAGAGGATATACCGATCCTAGCCGCAATGTTGATCGTTTTGTGACTATCACAATCGGACACCAAACAATGCGAGCTTATCGCACTGGGGACTATGTCCGCCAGCGGCCTCGAGATGGGGAGATGGAATTCTTTGGTCGCATTGATGGGCAAGTAAAGATCCGGGGTAACCGTGTTGAGCTAGGAGAGATTGAGACTGTCCTTCGTGGGCATGAGTTGGTGCGCGACGCAGTCGTTGTAGCAGAACAACGAAAAGACAAGAACCAGCGGCTTTTTGGCTACATCACACTCAAAGAAGACTTCGAGATGCTTGGCGCGCAGAACAGCTATGACAACCAGATACAGCATGTGAACGCGTGGGAACACCGCTTCAATACCGAGACATATGCTCCGATCATCGGCATCCAGTCTGAGACAGTGGGCCAAGATTTCATCGGATGGACGTCAATGTACGATGGCACCGACATCGACAAGACTGAAATGAAGGAGTGGTTAGAAGAGACCATCGATTCGATTCACGACAAGGTTGGCGGGCAATTGGGAAACATTCTTGAGATCGGATCAGGATCTGGCATGATCCTGTTCAACCTCGGAGATAGTTTGAAACACTATACTGGGTTTGAGCCGTCAAGAAAGGCAGTCGACTTTGTTACGGAAACAACCAGATCAATCCCCTCGCTTGCCAACAAAGTGGAGATGTATAAGGCTACAGCGGCCGACATCAGCAAAGTGGACCAGCCGCTCCAGGCCGACTTGGTTGTTCTGAACTCTGTGGTTCAGTACTTTCCCAGCCAAGGATATCTATTCAACGTGGTACGAGACTTACTCGAGGTCGATGGTGTCAAAACGTTATTCTTTGGGGACATTCGTTCTTATGCCCTGCGCCGGTAATTCTATGCAGCCAGAGCGCTCTTCATGGCTGGCGAAAGAGCTAGTCAAGAGGACCTACGACGTCTGGTTGAGGATATGGAACAGATCGAACAAGAGCTGTTGGTCGATCCTGGCTTCTTTACTTCACTGACACATCGTCTCCCTGATCTGGTCCAGCATGTGGAGATTCAGCCCAAGAGAATGAGAGCGACAAACGAGCTTAGCTCCTACCGCTACACGGCAGTCGTTTACTCTCGATCCTGGGAGCCACCGTGCGGAGGACTTCGAACTATCCCTGACAATGAATGGATCGATTTCCAGGAACAGGGCCTGAACCATGACTCTCTCCAGCAGCGCATCAATGATGTTTCAAGCACAAATCCTCTAGCCGTGAGCAACATATCCTACAGCAAGACGCTCTTTGGAAACTGCCTGCTGGGCGCACTAGGCGACGGAAAGGCCAGAAAGCCAATCCACATGGATTGGACTGCTCACATAAATCGACAAGCTAAGGGGATACCAAGCCTCTCTGCCGTTGACCTTCACGAGATGGCTAAAGCAGGAGGCTGCCAAGTGCAGATCAGCTGGAACAGACAATACTCACAGCATGGCGGCCTGGATGCTATATTTTACCCTCGTGAAATCAATGGTGGGAGTGATAAGGCAGGGTTGATGTTTTCATTTCCAACCGATCATGCCGAACGTCGACGACAGACCTTGAGCAACAAGCCAATGCGACAGCAACTGGTCAAGGAAGTCCAACAGCAACTGGATGAACTTGTCAAAGTTCAGCTACCTTCATACATGGTTCCGCAATCTATTCAAGTGTTGAATCAACTTCCGATCAACCAGAATGGTAAAGTAGATCGGAAAACTCTCATACAAAGAACAAGAACGCAGACAGAAGTCAGCCATGAAGGTCTGCAACGGGAACTAAGCACTGCAGAGCTCAAAGTACAGCGCATACTATCGCGGGTGCTTGGAATCGAAGCTAGTCGTATCGGGCTGGAAGATAGCTTCTTCCAACTAGGCGGGGACTCAATTGCTGCTATGAAGATAGTCGCTGCAGCGCGCGAGGAAGAGATTCACCTTACTATCGCAAACATCTTCCAGCACCCTAAGCTCGTCAACCTGGCGACTGTGGCTCAGTTTTCTCAACACGAAGGTGAACAGAAGTCAATTCAGCCGTTCTCCGTTCTCTCGACAACCCAAAGAGACTATCTTCTTCACGCCATCCCCGAGCATACGTCCAATATGAATGGAAACGACATCATCGACATCCTTCCAACGACATGGATGCAGAATCTTTTCATCTCCCGGGGCGTCAACATTCAACCCCTGGCGTTCAATTACTTCTTCCTCAATCTGGGGACGCGCGTTGACGCCTCCCGCCTTCGACGCAGCATCCCCACTCTCGTCCAACACTTCTCCATACTCCGAACAAAGTTTGTTTACGTCGACGGGGTACTTTGGCAAACTGTCCTTCGTAAACCACACGTACCCTTTACGGAGTTTCATCTGGACATGTGTCTTGAAGAAGCAGCTGACACTGTTTGCTTGGAGGACAGTCGGACCACGGATCCTCTGGAGTTGGCTACTGCCTTCATGCTGATACGAGGCAACTCCAATGAACACCTTCTGGCAATTCGCATCACGCACGCTCAGTATGACGGTGTTTGTTTCCCGTCGTTCGTGAAAGCACTTTTTGCCATCTACTCCGGAAAGTCTGTGGAGCATGCGCACAACCACTCCACCTATCTGGCTTATACTCGGGGCAAAAACGCAGTCTCAGCCCTGCACTGGCGTAATGTCCTGCACGGTTCGCGAATGACCAAAGCCACCCCGTTGCTCGGTCCAAGCATTCGACATGGCATGACTCCAGTTGAGGTTCAGACAGAAAACATCATCGACATGCCTCATGTCCCGACCGGTCTTACTCTAGCTTCGCTCGTCAGCGCCGCCTGGGCAAAAGTTCTCTCACAAATCACTGGAGAAGAAGATGTCGTCTATGGATACATGGTCGCTGGCCGCAATGCTAATATTCCGGCCATCACCAAGATTGTCGGCCCGTGTCTAAACATCATCCCAGTTCGCGCACGGTTGCATGCAAAGACAACTTCGACTGAACTAATACGTTCAATTCAAGAACAGTACATTGCACTCGGTGAAGCAGACTCGATGGGGTTTGATGAAATAGTCCGCACTTCTACAGACTGGCCGGCTGATACAGAGTACGACTCCGTGTTCCAGCACCAGAACCTGAATGAACATCCCGAATTCGACTTTGAAGGCACCAGCTCTAGACTCCATTGGTTTCAGAATCCCGATTCGGTACCTTGCATTCTTACTGTGGTGTCCTACCCACTTGAAGACGGGCTTAGGATTGTGGTTAGGGGTAACGAACACATCATAACGCCAGAGAGTGCGGAGAGAATCAACAAACTGCTCTGCGAGACTATCGGAGCACTGTCTTCTTCGCTCCAGTAGAGAGGTACTCGTGAATAGACACGATGGTCGATTGCACAGAGGTCAATAGTGTTTTGTGTCATTGCTGTGATGGACATAGCTGCAAATGGGGGTATCTGTTGCATTCGGTACTAATTTTTGTCGCATTGGGACATCTATCCGCTTCATAGGCGGTTTCACTCATCAAGTATAGAAACTTACACATCTAATCTTACCATCCTCGCACAAGTGTTTACGCTCGCTTACAACCTCTCCTTCTGCAGACCCTTCCAGCCCCATTCTTGCGCAATCAGCTCAGCCGCACGCTCACCGATACCCAAGACAGTCAACATGGGGTTGATAGTCGGCATCTCAGGGAAACATCCCGCATCCGCGATTCTGACACCTTGCAGACCTCTAATCTTGAGTTCGGGATCCACAACGGCCATGTCGTCCTTGGTCACATCACCCATCTTGGTGGTACCAGCAGGGTGGTACACAGTGTGTGCGACGCGGCGACCGTACTCGGATAGCTCCTCGTCCGTGTTGACATTTGGTCCGGGAGCGACTTCGCGCTTGATCCAGTTGGAGAAGGGGGCTTGCTTTGCGATTTCACGGGCGGCTTTGAGACCGGCGACGATGGTGGCGGCGTCGTAGCCTTCGGGGTCGGTGAAGTAGCGGAAGTCGAGGGCGGGTTTGACAGTGGGGTCGGATGAGGTGAGGTAGATGCGGCCACGGGAGCGGGGGCGGGGGATGTTGGGAGTCATGCAGAAGGCATCGATGGGAGAGTCGTAACCCATGCTGATGAACACGTTAGTTTTCAATGCAAAGGCGATGGGGGGTTGCATTCGAAAGAACCTACCGAGCAGTGTTTAGGCAGAAGGGGATTTGGTAGCAGTGCATCATGATATCAGCAATGTCGCCGTCACCGCCCGCTGCATTGGGGACCTCGCGGCGGAGGAAGATACCAGCGTCAGAGTCCATGGTGGTCTGGTTCGCAGGTACGGGCTTGTTGAGCTCCCAAAGGATGATGCTCTCGGGGTGGTCAAGCAGATTCTCACCAACACCAGGGATATCCTTCACAACGGGGATACCGAGGTCGGAGAGCTGTTGCTTGGGACCAAGACCAGAGAGGAGCATCAGACGAGGGGTATCGACGGCGCCAGCGCAGAGAATGGTCTCGCACTTGGGGTTGAGGGTACGCTTTTCGCCGGACTGGAATGTGATGTCGATGCCGGTAACCTTGTCGCCCTTGACGTTGACCTTGCTGACCCACGCGTTGGTGAGGACAGTCAAGTTGTCGCGCTTCTCCTCGCCACGGAGGATAGGGTGAATGTAGGCAACACTAGCGCTGCTTCGTCGGCCGTCGTCGGGGTTGTATGAGACTGAGAAAAAACCGACCGAGGGCTTGAGGGCGCCCTTTGTCTTGATTTCGTGGTTGAAGTCGTGGATCACGGGGATATCCATGGCGGTTGAGCACGAGTCGATCCAGTCGAGGCAGAGCTGGTTCCGGTGCTTCTCGTGCACGGGCTGAACAGTGTTGCGCAGGTTGTCAAGCACGCGCATGAAGGTCTTGAAGCTCCAGCCCTTGCAGCCTTGAGCCTCCCACCTCTTGCAGTCGTACTCGAACGGCCTGAAGGAAATGAGAGTGTTGTGTGATGAACAGCCACCAAGGACCTTTGCACGTGAGTGACGGATGTGAGAGTTGCCGTTGGGCTGTTCGGTGGTGCCGTAGTCGTAGTCGAGCTCGCCTCCAAGGAGGTTGAGCCAGTCCTTGAGCAGCAATACACGGTCGTCCATGAAGTCGCTTGGGCCGGCCTCAATCAAGAGGACCTTCTTGTTGGGCAAGTACTCGGTGAGTCGCGAGGCAATGACACAGCCAGCTGTGCCTCCTCCGACGATGACAAAGTCATACTCGGCATCCTTGGGGATGGAGGTCACGGTCTCGAAAGCCATTGTATAGTTGCGTATGGGTGTTGTGGCTTGGGGTGGTGGCGAGACTATACTCGAGAATACAAATCTGCTGGAGAAGGGTTGTGTCACGTAAGAGGCAAGCTTATATATCTATACCGGACTATCGCTCTTGGGGACGATGTTGTCTAGACGGGCCGGGGGTCGCGATCGGGCGGTCGGCAGAAGGTCGGACAAGCAAAAAGTTGAGCTGTACGGGAGGTTGGTGTACGGGCTGAGAGTCGTGTGGCCGCTGCAGGATATGTAGTTGGCCTTCCAGATAAGACTGTACTAAATAGGCCCGTTTGCGCGGTTGGACCAAGCGCTTGCACGTGCTCAACCGGCGCTCCAGTACGTCAGCGACGTTGCGAGAGTGAAGCGAGGAAAGATTGGCGAGCAGCCGAACTATGGTTGCACTGTACGCTGGGCGCAGGGCGTGGACGTGATTGATGGATTGATGCCTTCTAGAAGACCGATGCCACGGTTGCGACGATGTGGTGTCGCTCGCGACCCCAGGTCAAGAGAAAAAAAGGCGTCGTAAAAGACTCCGATGATGTGATGGCCGCGTTGGCGCTAGTACGACCCCGCTGGGCTGCAGATTCCGAGCAGGCGATCCCTGCTCGCCCATGCCGCACCTTCCCCGATTTTCGGGCGGTGAGCGCGGCAGCAATCGGACCACCTTTTTTATGCCAGACACCAGCGTCGACAAGAAAGAAGGCAATTCCGCGTGAAAGCGAGCCTGTCGTGGTTGTCCAGCTTTCACCGTATCTGAAACAGATCTTGATTCTGCACCTTGCTCTTATCAGCTGACGCACCTCATCGGCGACACTCCGAAGGATTGAAGAGCCGTGAAAGGAAAACGACGCGCAACAGCTGCATCACAGCTTTCCCCACTGCTATCGCTGTATACAAATGTTAGTCGAGGTTACATCACGGCGCCAGTCTTTGAGCCCTTGGCTGACAGACTGCAGATCCAACTGTGCATAAAGATTCTACCGGTGCATGTCGCCCATTGTGACCAGACTCGTGCAGCATCACATCATCACCAGAAGCGCCCTACCCAGATATCTGGCTCATCCATTGCGCCAACAAGCCACCCTCACCATGTCTCTCCCATATGCGCCCCGATCAGCCTACTACGACGGCAAGCTCCAGTCTGTCTCTTCCACCTCAACCTTCCAGACCATCGACCCCGCGACCGCCCAGCCTGTCGCAAACATCCACACCACCTCAAACGCCGGCATCGACGCTGCCATTGCCTCGGCACAACGCGCCTTTCCCTCCTGGTCCTCAACGCCCCCAATCGAGCGCGCGCGCATCCTCCAACGAGCCGCCTCCCTCCTGCGCGCGCGCAATGACGAGCTCGCACGCATCGAAACCAGCGACACGGGCAAGCCCTTCTCCGAGACGTCCACCGTCGACGTGGTGACGGGCGCCGATGTGCTCGAGTACTTTGCGAATCTCGTTGGAGGCGGTGGCATGAACGGCGAGACGGCACAACTGCGACCAGACGCGTGGGTCTACACGACCAAGAACTCGCTGGGCGTATGTGCAGGAATTGGCGCATGGAACTACCCTATCCAGATTGCATTATGGAAGTCGGCGCCCTGTCTGGCGGCAGGTAACTGCATGGTCTACAAACCGTCAGAGTTCACTCCACTGCACTCGACTGTTCTGGCGGATATCTACGCCGAAGCTGGTGTGCCGCCCGGCGTCTTCAATGTCGTCCAGGGTGGCGGTGAAGTGGGCGCATACCTCACCAAGCACTCTGGCATCGCCAAAGTCAGCTTCACCGGACAAGTCTCGACCGGCAAGAAAGTCGCAGGCAGCGCATCGGGCGAGATGAAGTACGTGACGATGGAGCTAGGCGGCAAGTCCGCCTGCGTAATCCTCCCCGACGCCGACGTAGACCAAGCCGTCGACGGCGCCATGCTCGCCAACTTCTTCTCCACAGGTCAAGTCTGCACCAACGGCACCCGCGTCTTCATTCCCGAGAGCATCAAATCCGACTTCGAGAAGAGGTTGCTGGAGAAGATGCAATACATCCGCCCCGGCGACCTGCACGACCCAGCCACAAACTTCGGCCCCTTGGTATCCAAGCCACACTACGGCAAGGTGATCCAGTACATCAAGCACGGCCGCGACAACGACAAAGCGAAGCTGCTCTGTGGCGGTCCAGAAACACCTTCTTGGGTCTCTTCGCACAGCGACAAGGCCTACCACAACGGCTACTGGGTCCAACCCACCGTCTTCACAAACTGCACCGACGACATGAAGATTGTGCGCGAAGAGATTTTCGGCCCCGTCATGTCTATCCTCACGTACAAGACTGTGGAGGAAGTCGTCGAGCGTGCAAACGCCACCGATGTGGGTCTCGCGGCAGGTGTCTTCACCAAGGATCTTAATCTCGCGCATAAAGTCATTGCTCAACTGGAAGCTGGAATCACCTGGGTTAACACGTGGGGTGAGAGTCCGGCTGAGATGAGCGTGGGTGGGTGGAAGCAGAGTGGTGTGGGTGTGGAGAATGGCAAGAAGGGGTTGGAGGCTTGGGTGCGGAATAAGAGCACGCTTGTGGAGATGGGCGGAAGTGTGCCGACTGTTTTCACCAAGTTGCAGGTGGGGGATGGATCAAAGCTGTAGTGCTGTTTAGATATTCCATGATATTTCACTGCGACCAGCTCAGCGTCACCGCCATGATCGACGTGTGCAACAAGGTTTACGCTTAGCGTCGGATACGTTGAGACTTTCAGAAAGCATTCCCACGTTACCGACAATCCGGAATGAATGCACGGTGAAGCGTGCCAATGTCATGATTTACCCACTCTCTTGTCCAAATGGCGTGCATGTCAAAGATTGGCATCTGGGGATCTGCTGCCGGCTGAGCAGGCTACACACATTGCGGTAAGTGCAGAAGAAGAGACAAGTCTAAAAGGTACATGCATTCTGTATATCAGCCGATCGTTGCCCAACTATCCAGATGGCTCGAATCTCGACTGGTCGACCAGGAACGGAAACAGGTAGTAATGAGAAACTTGCGCTCATCTAGCTGGAGCTATGTGTCCAATCTCGGAAATCAGTTACGGAGTGGTTTGTTTCATTTTTGTGCAGGGGATTCTGGTTTCGTGAGTTTTGCTGGTGATTAGCGGAATATATTGCGAAAGATCTCAACTGTATCAGACCTAGTTGTCGTGATCAATCTTCAATCAGATTATGTGGGTAAACGATAATAGATATACAGGGAGGTATATGGAGATGAACATGGGGCTGTTGTGGGAAACTTTAAGCTTGGTATGGCTCGGTTCCCCACACTACGATCGGCATGCTTACATGCAGATAAGCACCCGCACTTGAGTAATGCTCTCCACACCATACTCATCTGTTGGCGTGTCACACGTAGGATTGTTGTTACATGTCCCGACTATAACATATTCACCATCTCCCATCTCAGCAACGTGGCTCGCCGTCTATCTACATCCATATCCCCTCATCTACAGATAATCGTTCCTCGTCGGCAAGATCAAACACCTTCGTTAAGCCAACTTCTTCGTCTACATTTTCTACCTCCCTCTCTATTCGACCAGGAAGTGAGATTTACGAAGAACGTTCAAGAGACATCATCTTGGACGTTCTAATAGAATGTCAGTTTGGCGAAGTGAGAAAAAGAAAAGACAAGAGAAGGAGAGTAAGGTTGCAAGGTAACATGTATTGCGCAGACCATGAGTGATGGAGAACGAGATCGTTACATCTATCTATCCGCCCGATATCGGGTCTGGGTTTCCGTATCAAACTCCTTCTTACGTCACGGTCAATGTGTATGTCACACTGTCGCATTTGCCGTTGATGATTGTCCTATCACTGCTGTTTGCCAATTGTAGTAATCCTCTCCACGTGCCGCCATGCTGCATATTGAAGCAAGCTTGGTTGATATTATGAGTTTGCATAAATTCCAATGCTCGAGCGACGGCATCATTCATCGTCTTGGTTTCCGCTGTAGTGTCGCAGTTCTTGCCTGTTGTTGCCGCATGGTACTGATAGTTGACCCTTGGGGGCGGTAAGCCACGTCAGCAGCCAGCCCCATCCAAGAATATATAGAGAGAGAGGAAGAGTAGGATGTGTCGAAGTTTTTGGACATGAGTCTGAGATGGGAGAGAGATCAAGACATACCCGTCAACTGTGCCAGATATCACGCCGCAGGTGTTTGCTTCGCTCTGCGCCTTCATCAAGTTCGAAACGTACGTGGCAATTGCGTTTACGTTGAGCGCCACCATGGAGCCTGCACCGAGGATGGCTACCTGTTCTTCGATGGTAAGACGTTTGTCGAGACTGTCACTACAGCAATTGTCAGTAGGTGATGATAGAGGGCGTACAGCTCTAATGCACAAGAATTGAAGATAGAGGGTGTTTCTTCGCCGTACCTATCGTGAGGTTCCTCGCTCAATACTGGCAGCGCCTCCCGCTCTGGAAGATGGATAGCCACTGCGCTGTAGCTGAGGCATAGCGCGGTAGCAGCAGCAATTGTGGAGAGACGCATGATGGGCGGGAAAACAGGGTCGGTGGTGGAACTATGACAAACTGTATGAGCGCAGCAGAAATGTGGTTGCTAAAGTTATGGAGATGTTGTACGAAACCTGGGGTGTCTGCTACCGGTTATATATACATTTCATATTTCGAGTCGCCCCGACTATCGAGATAACTCATACTCAAGTATGGATTGAATCGATGCACGCCTGAGGCTATGGTGTTCAACTGCCCGCTCTCATGGTACGCCTGACGAGGTCATCGGCCGGAAATCATGTCCAAGGCTCACGATAGGGCCGCATCATGCTTGAGAGACGTAACATGCGTGTCTTCCAAGTCAGTACACTGAATCAATCGTACCTGATACCTTGCATATACTAGATCGGTCCTGTTGTTCTCTACTTCGCCGTCTATCAGGCGTTCGATCTCTGGTCTGTGCAAAGGGCCGAATTAGCCTGCCTAACCAACTTTACCACCCTTGTTTCAGACACTCTAGCCTTGACAAGGTTTCAAGCTTTTGAGATTAACGTCTTTCCACAACGATCATCTACATCAGTGTGGCTTAGGCGTTCATTCTTGGTTTGTTTTAATAGCCGCACGGGGCTGTGAGTACAAGGCGTTCCGTCTTCGGTCCGTATACTACCCATGCTCTTACTCCGACCGACTCTCCGACTCTTGGACCAAAACCTCATGGATCGGCATAAGCTTTGTGGCTGGCGCTTAGTTTTGTACTGTAACACTTGATCGTGTTCACTCATCATTCTTTAGGCGCCCAGCATCCATCACTGCCGGTTTGTCGAATCGACTCTACTACATGGATTCACGTCGCCGTCTATCAAAACCACCTTCTTGACTCTTTCTCAAGGCCACCAGTCCTTTGGAGGCCCTATTAGGCTCAGATCAACAAGGCATAATCGTCGTCGAAAGTTTGAACTGTCTGAGAAGGGGAGGTAGACCGCGGGCCTTATGTAGGTCTTGTGTTGTATCTATCTACTTACATAAGACAATTGAAGCATCTGAAAGCGTTTCTCCAGCAAGATCAATAGTTCTTCCCAACCCATATATCACGCGATTGTAGAAATCTTCGTCAAGACTCTTGTTCCAATACAATTCACTTATTCACGATGCGCTTCCAGCTCGTTCACATCCTCTGCTTGCTCGGAACCGCCGAGGCACTCGCCATCGGTGATTACGAGAAGCGGCATAGCAGTGGCGAGGAGTAAGTTGTCGCTCTTCCAACAACGTATATTGGTTATTGCACCTCGCTGATCAGAAAGCTTCAGATACGGACTCGGCAGCGATATCGCTGCTCCCCTAGAGGCTCGCCGAGACATTGAACTTGCAGCCGGCTTCGTCAGTCAAGGCGCGACCGCCACTCTCGCCATCGTTTCCATCGCCAACTACCTTGCTGTATACATCAAAGGCCAATCCGATGTCAATAGCTGCTCGGTGATTTCAGGAAATGTTGATGGCGCTGCTTGGCAATACTACGCGACCACGTCTGGCCCGAAATGCGACACTACCTCGGAGACGAAGACGATTGAGAACGCTGTGGAGCGCGAGCTCAAGTGGATGCAGGAGAATGGGTACGACTCGGCGTGCTTCAAGATGGACCATGGGGGTACGTGGGAGGGACATCTCAAGATTGCGTTTAACGGCAAGCCAATCGCCTCGGACACGCAATGTAATTCGTTGAAGTACATTGATCTATGATCTGCAACTGGCAGAGCGAAGGTATAAGATAAACGAAGATATAGGAGGCTATTAGAAATATGAATATTTCTTCGTTATTGCCCTTCCATCTTACTCTCTAGCACGCGATGTATACAACTTCAGTCTTCACGTTTCTACCGCTCTTGGTGGTGCAGATACAAACTTTGGTTTCATTGCATGTCTGTATACGCCCATGCTCTACCAGGTAGACTGAAGCTTCGTGAGGAATTGCAAGGTCAATCTAGCCAAGAAGAAAAGTGCGTTCTTCGCTATTTCTCTTCCAGAAGGTACCGTCACCATATTCCAGAAGCGGGTTACCGTAGGTGAAGTCCAGGGGAAAGATCCGGCCTTGCTTCTCTCGGGCATAGATAGGGCGATGGGACCAATGCAAATTGAAACATCCAACGCGCTCGTAATGTGTGCTGTGCTGTCGCATGATGAGTATTTGTGACTCTTGCTCGCATCTTCAAGTCTTTTGAGTAAGTGTCCTGCGTCGCACGGCAACAGCACAAGGCAGCTGTATACTGCCCTGTAGCATATCGTCTGCATCCCAAAACGGCAGAACAAAGAGGTCGAGGTTGGAGGCATACGAAACCTTCACATATAATCCAGTGGGTATATCAGATTCGTGGTCGAGATATTCGAAATCTAGCATCACCACAGTAGTGTTGAGTCTTAGGAATCTCTCTTCTGTTGGTCTAGGTGCGCGGTGGTCTTCTGATAATTTTCCGAAAGCGTCGGAAACATGCCTAAATCGTCCGTCGTGCCAGACTTCGAGCGAGCAGCCGGATGAGATCGTGGTTTGGTAGTCGAGATAGTCAATCTGCCCTCTCCAGCCAAGAGGCGACCAACTGGGAAACCCTTTACGCCGGGAACAGGGCAGATCGTGACACCAGTTCAGAGCCATGTACGTACTAGATGTCTCGGAAGAGTTCGACCTTTGGATAGTTACCCCCTCTGTATGATCAACACCTTCGAGAGTTCCTAGCGCGCCGATGATAGCGTTGAGAGCATCCTCTTCGTATGTAAGACTTCGTCCTGCGAACTGGCGCATCATGTGATTTGCACGATCCCAAGCATTCATCTTACTAGGTAGCGAGGCAGCAAGTTCACTTGCAATCAAGCCGCCTCTCAGGTCCTCATCTTGAAGGTCTTCATCGCAAATGTAATCTATCCCGTGTTCTACAAAGAACAGTCGCCTTTTCGAGAGGTAACCTTCCTGCAACGTCCATGCTCGAGAGTACCAGGTGGATGCTGAAACCGATCGTGTGACTGACTGAGAGGCGTTGACCAGATATAGATTCTTGGTGACGGAACACGATTCTGGATAGCTGAACTCTCTGCTGATTCCTGGTAGACCAAAATTGGCATCTGTGCCGGCCGCTGCAATAAGCGTAACCTGGGCTGAA